TACTGGTGCCTCCTTTGCGCCCCCCTTCGGTAGAGTCCTAGCTCCGCCACAGGCTCTGCCCCATTCCCCTCTCCCCCAACGCTCCTGTTCCTCCGTCAGCAACTCCTTGTCGACACCAACGATTGAGTCAAGCTACAGGCACTGTCATCTGAAACATGCCAACATCAGGGTCTGGAGCATTTGCCAAGCCTGTGAAAAGCACTTTGCAAAACCCGGTCGAGACGGGAAGACCAGTTGAAAAAAAAACTCATTTGATTTTTGCCTTACTCGGTGGTGGGCAGGGGCCGTAGTAGATCAGGATGTCGTCGAGAGCTATGTCGCCTGTGAAGGAGTTACCAGCCAGACCTTCCCAAACAACCTAGGTGTCAAATCAAACAGAATTATTATTTTCACGAGGGTTGTCCAATCCTCTTCCCTACCGGTATTTTAGGGGCGGGGTTTGACTTTCAAAAAGGGGCCGACAAATCCAAACAGAAAAAAACTTCAGCATTAAGTTTTCTTGCCTTTTCTTGCAAGATTCAAGATGGGTGTACCTTATCTCATGATTTCTACTCAAGGTCACTTCTAGTCCTTATAAACCAAGGCCAGGGATAGTTGAGTCTATAATCTCTAAACTCACCTGCCAGGACTTCTCGGAGGTGACCGTGTACATGGCCTTCAGCCACTGGTTGCCCTGGGTCTGGTAGCGGGTCCAGATCCGGGTGTCCTGACCGCCGCGCCGGATGTAGACATTGAGCCGGTTGATGGACAGCCCGTACATGTGGTACCACCAGGTCAGGCACATGGCGCCGCCCGTGTTGACGGTGGGCTCATTGATGGCCGAGGCCAGCTGGGCCTTGTGGTTGGTGCCCACACTGGACGGTGACGTCTCCAGGTACATGTAGTAGCCTGGGGGTGGGGGGGTGCAGTTATTAGTAAAAAAAGTTCTGCGGTTGCACAATACAAAGATGTCTCTTTTGTGGGTATGAGAAAGAACTGGAGGGTACTCAATATTTTGGACTGCATGCTCTGTCTGCCATCAGGAGACAGCTGATATACTCGAGACAGACACCGAGAGCAGTCTCCTGACAACGGACAGAGTATACTCTCTGAAACACTGAGTACCCTCTGGTTCTTTCCAGAACCACACATACTCAAAAAAGAGATATCTTTGTTGTTTTTTACCACAATATTTTAACTTTGGGGATGTAATGCCACACTGTATTATATCCGGAGAAAGCCAACTTGAGAAGTGCTACTGTGTAACTGCGCCAAGCCAATTTGATTCATCTGTATCTCTGGTATCCCCAACAGAAAATACTTCTATATCTATCCTTCCTTCCAGTGGATGGGATGTCCGTGGCAAGTTGGCTCCCCAGCTATTGCCGGTCCTTTTTCGCAACTCATGGTGGAAAGAGGCAGGCAGGGCATGAGGTGGCTGGCCAGAAGCCTCGCAACCCACATGTATGACTAGTAGTTGGATTGGAGCCTGTGACCCTCTCCTCAAGAGTCAAAGTCCTTACCCACCGGCTACGTGTCTCCCATGTTATAAAGATGAACAAAGGTATCGACTGGAGCGGGATTTGAACCTACGGCCTCCGGAATACCGTACCAGGGCTCTACCAACTGAGCTATCCAGCCCTATGTTGGTAGCTCTTCCCATTTGTCAATTTCTTTGTTCGGGGGCGCTCCTATGTTATAAGCTATTTTCTGGATGTGGTTGGTAATTCCAGAAATTAGGGGTCTATTTTTTTTTGGTGTCCCTGTCACATCTGACAATATGATTTGTAAGTTCAGAACACATTTTCTTATTTCCAAGAG